TGCTGTTCTCCTGCTTGATTCCCTACTTACCTCCTCTCCTCTCTTCTCCCTCGTTCATATCTCACCATTGTCCCTTTTCCCCTGCATGATATTTAACATGCATGAGATTAGTGAATCACAGCTATTTGTTGTGATAGTTAATAGTCCTGTAGAAAATATGCTCATAACTGCTTTTACTTAATTCAGAAAAGGAATATTAAAATTTATAGGAAAAATTTTGAATTTATTTTCATAAAATTAAAAGGGGGGAGAAGCTATAGATTCACAAAATAATTCCTATTGCAGCATGTGCAACTTTTAAATTTTTTTAAAATAGACTTGTTTGCTACTTCTAATTGTTTTTAGTAAGACAAAAGGTTTTAAAAAAAGAAAATTGAATAGCACATTATCTACTTCATTGTTTCCTCCTTTCAACCACTAAGGGGAGGTGGTACTGTAGCTTGCTACTAAATATTATATAAATATAGCTCTAAGGCACAGAGTGGACAGCAAGTTGAGACAAAAGTGCAGAGCAAGAACCTCTGTTTATTCACAGTTTTGCTTTAGTGTCTGGTTTGCTACTACTACAGATACTACTACTATGCAACTATACTTCAATTAATTTTCTACAGTTTTTCTTTTACTATTACTACTGTTATTCATTATATAAATACATGTGCCATTGTTGTCTAAACGAATGGTGCCTAGTAATTTTTATCATTTTTCTAAATCCTTCTGTGAACTTTGTCAAGCTTTTACAGTGTTTTATATTTTACAAAATATGAAGTATGAACAGTGGGGGGGATACATTATGCTTTTATCCCTTCCCTGCACACCTTTTCCCATTCTATTTTCCTATTTAAGTCCTTTTAACTTAAAATAATTTTGCCTGGTGCCTGTTTAAGTTTGACTCCAATTAAAACCAGTACACACACATGATCCAATGCCAGTAGTAATGTTCCCACATGTCCCAACACTAAGCACACATGACCTGCTGACATGGGATGTATCAAATTGTTTTGCTTCTAATTACGAACTGCAAGCATTTTGGTAGGGCCATTTTTCTGCAGTCCTGAAATCTGTGTCTCTGGGAATTGTTTAAGAGAGCTTCTAAAACTAGCATGCAAAGGCCTTAGTCATATCATAGCATGTAAAGTTACATTATAGAAACCCAAATATTTTCCAGTTTTATGAATTACTGTACTAATTTATATTTTTATTGGGTAGTGTTAACTCTTGTTCAGTGTCTTGTTGGCATTTGTTTTTCAGAATTGATCAAGTGTTGGTATGCCCTCGATTTGTTGTTTATGCTATTTCAAGTACATTGAAACCTCGGTACTCAAACTTAATTGATTCCTGATGGTGGGTTGAGTGCCGCTCTATTCGAGTACTGAAAAAAAAAATCCACAAGGAATACTGTAAATTGGATTAATCTGTTCCAGATCATAAAAATAAATATATTGATAAAATAAATAAATGAAATAAGTGCAGATACAGTATACACTTTACCTGCCCTTAGGAGAGTTGTTGGCATATAGGTGGTCAGGCAGAGGAAAATAAATGTTATTCTTTGGCAGGGGAGTCCCCTACCATTATCACAGCTTTGTAAGGGTGATATTAATTAAGGAAACTTTGTACTTCCTCCAATTTGGACACATTTCTTTTATTAGAGAACTAGATTTAGGCATATCAGATTCGGTAGCATGAGCAGGACACGTAGGTACCACTTTCATATTTTGCTACGAGTTCTTTTTTTATTGCAGTCATAACTAACTAATTTTCATTTTGTTTGGTTCCTGTCACTAACTTTCACTAACTCTATTAGGTGCTATGGTG